CCTTGCTGTTGCAGCTCAGCAAACTCTTCGTGTATCAAATAATGTATATCTTTGCTGGGCACCAGAGTCTTGTGAAATATAAATCATTTGACTTCCATACCTGGAGAGGGAGGGAGAAATCTGTTATTAAAAAGACACCTTGCTGAACATCTCAGGTGTTATTTTGGTGCTTATGGAAAAGTGACTTGGTATCACAAATCTATTGTGTTTATTGCTGATAGCAAAGCTCTGTGATACTTTTTATCAATACGTGTTCTGAAGATATGTATAGTTTGTTTTTTTTTCTTTCATTTTGCATAACTTGTTTTACCCTGGATTCTCATTGCTGGGTTTTGAAGATATTTATAAAGATGCTTCTGGAATAAAGACTAATGTCTTTATTCCAGTAATTCAGTAAGTAGTTAGTTATAGACATATATATACTTATTAGACATAAGTAATTAGATGAGCAGCTTCCCAGTAAGACATCCATACTGCTGCTTAAGTATTTCTTCTATATATCCTTTTTCTGAGATTATTTAGAGGAAGCATATCCCCTTTTCAGAGCTGAAAAGAAACAATTCCAGGTGCTAGGCCACAGGAAGAAATGTCTTCCTGTGGCCTAGCACTTACTGTTACAAGGAGAATCTTTACAATAGCTTAAAACTTGACTGTGTTAAATATGTACTTACTGAAGATTGTCTCTTAAATTTGTTGCCAGGTGTTAATATGTGAACAGAATCACATTATTTACATGTTTCCACTGTAAAGTGTCACTGTGCATCTGCAGTAGAGCAGATATGGGTCAGTACAAAGAAGGGCTACAAGACATAAACAAGAAATTAACGAGATAAAGTAAAAAAAATATAGTAAGTTAGAGCAAAAGCAACAAGGATTTAGAGAGACAGTGAGTTATGTCACTGAGGGTACGGGATAGATTTTGGAGATAAGTGGAGAATAACACTTTGGGGCTGTATCATGAGTTGCTATCCCAACATGTTTCAGCTGCTCTTCTCCAGAGCTGTTTGCACTGTGTTACTTATGTCCCAGATTGTTGAAATTGGGCATATCTCTTTGTAATTACAGATGGCAAAGGTTGAGTCTGGCAGGGCTGAGTTGGGCTTTGTAGTTGATGGACTGGTTCCTCTGAATAGTTCCTACTCCACCAGCTCCTACACGTGTTATGGTCGCTGAGAAAGTTGAACCTTGAAGGCCTGGTACCTAGCAGAGTCTCTCTGTACAGAGCTAGGCTGCTGCTGGGGCTGAGCTGAAGGGTTTTCAATGCAGTTACTGGTGGACATAATTATTGGAGTAGTTTTATTTGTTTGCTAGACCAGTCACTGAGAAGAAGTTGAAAGAAGCCACAGTTTATTTATTTTAAATGACTTTGCAGTTTGGATATTCTGTGTATCTATAATAAAAAGCATGTTATTCACCTCAATTAGGCGTGATTATGTCTAGACTTTATCTGATGGATATTTTAGCTGTCAGCAGTGAATGCTTCCAATTGCCCGTTGAATTAGATGCTGTAGTAGGTGTGCCCACTTGGTTTACTTAAAATTTTTGCAGTTATTGAAGTTAATGTTTACACTGTAACCTTTTAATGAGACTACAGTTCTGTGATTTGGATTTGCCATCAATGCTGTGCTTTCTAGGTAAAATTTAAATCCGTCATATGTAAGCACTGTGGGATTCTTATTCTAGTGTGCAATATCTTGTTAGTGTCCGTGGAACCATTGTCTTTAGCAGTATGCAATCAGAAATGTTGAAATAAAGGCAATATCTTTCCTGCATTGTAACTGAAATATGGGGAATCTTAGGAACTGTCTGTTGTGTAGCTTGGAAGAAAAAGCCACCAAAAAAGATGTAGGATTTGACAGCTGATGGATTTTTTTAGCCTGTATGCAAATTCTTACCTGTATATCTGTTTAGAAAAAGGAAAAGAAAAATTAGATTTTTTTTTTTCCTACAACGTTTTTCATTTATTCCTCAAAAAAAGAAGGGAAAGGATTGTGCTTAACCTTGAAATGCCCTTTTAAAAATTTAATTGACAGCACAGGGGCCTCATGATACAGTAGTTGTACTATATCATGCATCTTCCTAGTGCTCTTGGTCAGCTTCTTCCAGTAAACTTAAGAGAAGGGAGATTTGCTGTTGCAGTGGATCTTTTTAGCCCCATTGGAAAAGTAAAAACATCTTTGGCACAGTCATTTTACAAGACCATCTTTCAATGATTGTAAGCTTATAATTTCTTCAATTTTTTTTTTAATTCCAATAATATATCTGCATTCTGGGCCTACATTTCGTTAACAGTGAGGTGCAGGTCAGATGAGACCTTCTCAACCGGAGAATTTCAGATAACACTTAAGAGTGGAACTGCATTAGATTATCTTTAATATAATCACCCGTGCAAACAGATGACATTTTGCATGAAACATTGAATAATTTAGTGTTATCTACCAATGCTACATAAAGATTTTTTTAAAAGATTGAATTAAAAACTCTTGCTTGACATATTAGAGGTTGAAGTGTCATGTTTTGTCCTGGAGGTTTGTGCTTTAAGCGTACGACAAAGACTCGATGTAAATTTGGTTAGGACGGGCATTGAAGCAAATAAATGAATAGTCTAGAGGAAAGCTGTGAGCATCGCAGTGGGGATGCTTAGCTCTTTGTAAAGTCTAAGTGCTTTTCAAAGATTGATCCTCTTCCCCTTGAAGGGGACCAGGGTAGGGGGTAATGGTGTAGGCAGCTGTAGAGGAGAACAACACAGGAGCAGGGGAGGGAGAAGTCACATGGGAATGACTAAATCTGTTTATTTTTCACATAAGCTGAACTGTGGTGGCACTTCCACCTAAACCAGTAACTGACCAGCTACAATAAACACTGAAATCTTGCACAGAATTGCTTTTAGGATTAGGAAACTGACCAAATCACGTCTCTTTCTTGTCAATGAATTCTCTGTTAACAATTTCAAATGATTACTCTGACTTCAGTATTTCACCTGCAGAGACTTAGCATGTCTGATCTATTGCTTGTCATCTTCAGCTCAGAGAATGGGTGGGTGACATTGCAAATTAATGTGATACACTCAACCTGTCTTCTTTTTGTGCCTTTCTACTTAGCTTCTACAAAATGCCATGCCAGTGACAACTTAATGATGATGAATTTCACAATATTGTGAAAACCTGTTTAACAAATGTATCAAAGCTTATTTATAAAGCAAAACAGAAAGCAGTCAGGAGTTTCCTGCACTTATATATATGTCATCACCAGCTGGGTAGATGCAGGGGAAGCAGTGGATGTTGTCTACCTTGATTTCAGCAAAGCTTTTGATACTGTCTCCCACAACATCCTTGTAGGAAAGTGTAGAAGGTATGGGATGGATGAGTGGACGGCTTTAGGCTTGCAATAGAATATATGAGATTGTTTAAATAAGACATGACCCTTCTCATTTTCAAGGGCAGTCTGCATGGGTATAATTCCCCTTGAACTGGGAAGATTTGAAGATAAGTAGTGAAGAACTCCATGAGAAGTCGTGCATTTGGAATATTTTTTGTTACAAACTAGTTTCAGAAGCTTTCCATTAGAAGTAAGTGGCTTTGTAGATTCTATAGCTGTTAAATGTCAGAATCTTTACATTTCTCTCAAAATACAATAATTTAAATTAGCCTTCCAAATAAAAAAGTGAAGCTTATTTTAAATACTAGAAAATAAAACAACTGAAGAACTTTGGTACTTCTTTAGCCAACTTTAATCAGACACAAATTTGAAATTCCTACTCCGAGCTAATCACTTTATCTTGTACCATATAAAACAAAGCAAGAAAATCTTCCTTAATCACGTCCTGAGGATTTAATTGTCTGGCAGATGGTTTGATTTTCAGCAGTGGGACGGGGTGAGAGAATGGCAATGGCAGTCAGCGTTGTTGTGCAGAACAGGAGCCCCAACTTACCTTGCCAGAAACCAGTGTAGCAGTGCTTTCTGCACAGTGTGCATGTGGTCATGGACTTTTCTAGTCAGAAATTCACGCCCACACCTCTTCTGTTTTCTTGCCCAAATCTAACTCAGAGTTTTGTGCTGCAGTCCAAATGCCATGAGGTGCTTTCCAAAATGAAACTGCTGAAATTTTCAAGTTTTGAAGTACCTGGTTTTCTAAATAGAATAAGTTCCTTTGTATCTTCCTTCCTTATGAAAAAGGAAATCCTCTACACTTTTAAAACTACTAATGTTCACTTACTTTACAGAATCTGTGTTGGATTTGAGTAGTATGCCCTTGTGAAAAGGAAGGAATGTGATTGAAGATTGTGGAACATTTATGTTGTAAAATTAAGCATAGTTAGAATGGCTTATGCTAGCATTTCACTCCTTATACTGATTTGTATATCATAAGTCATATGGTAATTATTTGCCTATATGGTGGAATTCTAGCAAGGAGGACTTTCTAAGTATGTATTCCCTTTGGCATATTTGTGGGCTCTTTTATATACAGATTCTAGAATGAATAGCTGCTTTATTTTAAATTTGCCATAGATTGGTCTAATAATTAGAGTTAAACCATTTTTTTTTCCTATCTTAGATTACAATTATCAAAATAGTGGTGGGCTATTGTTACTTGTCACAAATAACCTGCTATCAAAAACCTTGCTGTAAGTTCTGGTGACAATCAAGTGAGATTATTATTTTATTTTTTGCATATTCTATCTCTTAGTCATAGCGGAGTGGCAAACAGGAAAAAGAAGTATGTCTTTGGATACATTAGTTTGTGATGGTAAAATCTGGGTATCCGACTCATCTTAAAAAACATGGAACAAGACAGACATAATGTTACTGGAAACACTGGGTTTCAGTTTGTTCTTTGATAGCTTAATCTAAAAGTTTTTTCCTCTTGGTCAGAAGCTTGTTTGCTGTAAGTACACGCAGTGTATTTCAAAGTACTACTATCTATGTATATTATTTGTGCTTAACACAATTTTCCTGATGAAGCAAGAGTGCTTTACTAATCAGTTCGTTGATATCTTTTCAGATTACAGCAGATATGACTATGTGAATAGCCTAGGATAGCCCAAAGGAAGGACATGATGTCAGAATAACATACAAAACATTTGTGAGGTATGTGAATTTTTTTTGTTGCACTAGAAGATTTTTTGATTGTCTTTTATACAGTTAAAACAAAATGAATACAATAATTTTATGCCATTTCATTTGTATGCTAAAGGAGTTGCTTGCAGAATTGATCTAAAATTCACATTGTGGCATACACAAATACTGATTTTTGGTTGGTTTTGAGGGGTTTTTTGGGTGTTGGGGTTTTTTTTCAAAATCTTGATGTCCTGGTTTAAGTAACTTCTTGATTTGAGTAGCTGAAAACTTGCCTTGACTGAAAAACAATTCTATATTTCTTATTCTTATGGCTCCTTAGCTGGAAGGAATTCCAAATTTATGTTCTATAGGAAATTTCAGAATTGGGTTATTGTTTTTGATTCAGTGATTCCTCTCAGACACTTCAAAACATCTGTGCAGCAGGAGGTCTTGAATGAGTGGTGTTTCTTATTCTTTTCTAAGGTGTTTTTCTGGTATGTGACTGCTTTCATCCGTGGCCTAGTAGCTGCATTCTGGTGAGAGAGGGGACTTTTGTGTAAAAAAAATAAATAAAAAAAGCCCCACTCCAAAGTGTGGACAGAAAACTCGGTGTAACTACTAGATATTGTAATACTGTGTTGTTAGCAACTAGATCCCAGCACCACAGCTGTATTTCAGGTTGTTCTGTTGCACAACCAGTGAATCTAGCCCACACTTAACTGTGTCCTATGAGTGTCTCAGCTATTTTAACTGTTGCTCTGGGATCTCTACACTGCAATCTGCATATATTTGTTTTAATTTCTAGTCTCTTGGATTATTCCTGCCTAGTTCTGGCATTAAGGCTTAAGGATCAGAAAGATTTACTGGGCAGAATATGTTTACCTGATTGCTGGTAGATAGGATTGAGAATTTTTTAAAGGGTTTAGAAATACATAACTTCATCCTGTGAGTCTCTTTACCTGGTAATGGTCACTTTGACCATTTTAAACTAACAAAGTGATCCCATATTCAAGGTTTTGAGATGTAAATTGAGGTGCCATAATTCCTCTCAGTCATTTATAGGCTACCATTAATAAGGGGAAAAAAGTGGAGATTTCTGCATGACTGTCATCAATCAATATAAATGCTTTCAAGTTTCCCTCAGCCTTAGCCTGTAATAGCATGAATCAATAGGATTTTTAGAACACAGTATACTTTTAAAGTAACAGGCTATTTTTGATGCATAATGTTTAAGCTTTAATTTGTCTCCTGTTTGTTGATAGCACTTCAGTTCTCCCATTCTATATCTTTGCTTGTTAGAGATGTCTGGAAAATAATTCTGTTTTCATGAAAACTATTAAGGTTTCAAGTCTTGATTTTATTCCATGTTGGAACAACAACAAAGCACTAAAAAGAGTTTTCACAAAATTAAATTCATTAATGTGTTCTTTGAAAATCTGATTCATGTAATCCATTGCCACGCTAATTTAACAGCTACCATTTGTTGCCCTTAAGTTTGGTCTCATCTGAGACTATTTTGTAAGTTATCCAGTGTATCTTTGTAATGGGTCTATGTTTTTTTTTTCAACAAAATACCACTTTTATCAACAAATTCAGCTGCTTTCTAACTTGCTGTGTTGTTTGTTGTGAACAATGTACTAGAACAGCTTTATTTCCATTCTGTTTTTTCCTTCTGCTCTTCCCTGGGTTGCTGGAGCAGTAGAAAAAGTCAACAGTCTGGTGCTATAATTTGCTGTTTTGTGAGAAACATGAGCTCTAATTTAATGAAGGCTTTGCCATTTTAGTTTGAGATAAAAGAAAGAGGTTGCATTTTTAACAAAAAAGGAAGAATGGTTTAGGGGGACAGCAGGATGGAAATGAAACCATTCTAAAACCCCTTTGTCAAGCATTGAAGTTGCATGATTAAAAAAAAAAAGTTACAGGATTATAAAACTCAGTAAATGGCTTACAAAATTGTCACTGGAACTTTGTAAATTAGTATCTTTTGATTACAGAAATATTTAATCTTTAGATGGTCATAGAATTGTTCAGGTTTTGATCAAAAAAAAACCCCTCACTAATCTATTTTGAACTTGGATATATTTTATCTTACAGAAATAAAAAATGAGAACCACCTTATTTCCAATTTCCTCATGGACAATAACTGTTTAGGTTAGATATTAGGAAGAAGTTTTTCACTGTGAGGGTGGTCAGACACTTGAATAGGTTGCCCAAGGAAGTTGTTGATGCCCCCTCCCTGGAGGGGTTGAAGGCCAGGGTGGATGAGGCTTTGAGCAACCTGGTCTAGTGGAAGGTGTCCCTGCTGATGGCAGGGGGCGTGGAACTAGATGATCTTTAAGGTCCCTTCCAATCCAAACCATTCTATGATTCTATGTATCTTTGCTTCCTGCAGGGTAAGGCCAGAAAACCATGCAGTCATCAGGGCACAGATTCCGTGATGTTGAGCACCACCCGCTTCTGGCTGAAAATGACACCTACGATTCCTCTTCCTCAGAGGCTGACATGGCAGAGAGGGTTTGGTTCATCCGAGATGGCTGCGGTATGGTCTGTGCTATAATGACATGGCTTCTGGTTGTCTATGCAGACTTCGTAGTGACTTTTGTCATGTTGCTGCCTTCCAAAGACTTTTGGTACTCTGTGATCAACGGTGTTCTCTTTAACTGCTTGGCAGTGCTAGCTTTGTCATCGCATCTGAGAACTATGCTAACTGATCCAGTAAGTATGCCATCGTTCCTTGACGTTGGATTGTTCTCTCATGTAGCTCATCATCTGTGGAGACATTTGGAGAAGTGATCTCAGTCTCCTCCTGAAAAAGAAATATTAGATGCAGAACCCTCAAGTGGAAGGGATGACATCTGTACTTTTTCCTGTTGTTCTGTTAATGAATCCATAAATAATTTTTAACTTGAGGAGCAAGCAGTATAAAATCAATTTATAAGGGAGAGGTAGGCTCGTGAGAAATACAATTTGTTTTTAAAATATTCACCCAGGTTCTGAAGGAGCCAATAAAACTTTATTCTTTCCTGTCCTAATTTTTCATACTTTTTTCCATCAGCTAGATTTTCAAAACTTCGTAAGATGTTGTAGCTTGATCCTGTTGTATCATTTGAAATATATCTTCCATTTATGGCACATGAAAGAACTTTTAGAGGTAGACACGCTTTAAAACCTCAGTCACATGTTGGTGTAAAGTAACAACTATTGTCTTACATAATTTATGCATTATTGTGTTCAGGTATTTGGAGTCAGTGGGAAGGGAGATTTAATTTGAATCCACATTGGAACAGTTTAGGTGTAAGAGGTGTTGAAAGTACTCATTTCTTAGGACTTCCTGCTCTTCAGTTCAAGAGTTCAAGAGATTAAATTGTTTATTTTGTACTAAAATCTATTAGAAAATCTAGGGAGAGAGGGGTGAGGGGAAAAAAATCTATTTTCTCCAGATTTTTGTAACAGTGGATATAGAATATGGGAGTGTTCAAAAAAAACCCCAGCAGGGTGTTGTGGTTAATGGTTTTCTAGGTCTTTGATTTACTTCTGAGCCCACACCAAGTGATGAAATGTTATGACTTTTACAGACTGTGACAGCTAAGGAAGTTAATGTTTTAAGGATAGATTGCTTAAAAATATGTCCCAGTAAAACTGTATGTCTTTCTAGACCTATGTTGTCCTTTATTGATAAAACATGATAGAGATTGAGATGAATCACCACCTTTTTTCCCTCCACTCCTTACTGGCTCTCAGAATGGAAGACCTGACTGTGTGATAGAAACTAGATTGAAGGCAAAAAAGGAATAAACTGCCTGAAAACATATGGGAATTAAATTTACTTCTGTAACTATAAAAATAGATTTTTCACTGAAAGGAATTGGTGACCATCTGAGACTATGAAAGATGGTTTTGAAATAGAGCATATTTTTATCAGCAGAATGCTAAAAGCATGGCCTGAAGTTATTGTCCTTAGTGACAGGTGAATAGGTGAATGTGAGATGTGTTTTATAAGCATAAATTTCCCTGGAACAAGATAAATTTGTGCTTTAGGAATTCTCTCTGAGATAATTCACCATGTTTACACCGAAGTGTTAACTTCAGTGAAAACATTCCTG